AATATGTAATAATTTTAACTACCAAAGGACACATAATTTGTTGCATGTCAAGAATAGACAAATAGCTGTTCTGGCAACATTTTTCTATGTCTACTAAGTTTCTATATAAAATGATGTATAAATACAACCCGTTGAAACTCTAAAAATAAGGCTTATTCATAGATTGTAAAATTTGTATATTCTACCTCTCATATCAACTTATGATTTTAGGAAAGAGAAAATGTGCCACTTAATCTTACAAAACAAAATAAATTTATACTACTGTTTTTTTCTTTAAACCTAGACAATATGATGTTGTAGAAACTTCAGAGCATTATAAGAGCCGATGGAGATCTATAAGGATTCTATATCTTACCATGTTTCTCAGCAGTGTAGGTAAGTGTTAGAAATTAAATATGATTTTAAAAATTTAGATAAAATTTCATATGTTTAGCTTATTTTTATTGATACATAACATACAACAGTAATATTAATTTGTATAGCTTGATGTATTTTGAATTACTAACATTATTTCTGACAACCTTTGCTAAAAAGTAAAACTACACAAGGAAAAGTTTTCAAAATATTAATACCCATATGTCATTGTTGTTGTTAGGTGCTTTTAAATTGGTTCCAATTCATAGCAACCCTCTGCACAACAGACTGAAACCCTGCCATGTGTACATGCTGTCCTCACAATTGTTGTTATGTTTGAATCCATTTTATGTTAAAATGGATAAGAAATGAAAATATTTAAGGTTTATTACTACTGTGATAATTTTTATGGGATTGTTTGAGGTGAGTTTTTTTTTCTTTTTTTCTACATTTAGTCCCTCAAGTCTATAGGTAGTAAGTTTTTTGTTTGTGTTTTATGATTTAGGTGAAAGTTTATAAAGCAAATTGGTTTTTCACTCAACAATTGATACACATTTTGTTTAGTGACATTGACTATAGTCTTCATAGTATAACTGGTGTGGTGCTCTGAGTTAATGTGCTGGACTGCAAGGTGGGTTTGAATTGCAAGGTCAGTGGTTTAAGCTTACCAGTTGCTCCTCAGAAATCCTACACAGGGTTGCTGTGAGTCAGAACTGATTCAATGGCACTTAACAACATTCCCACTTCTTCCCTGTGTTTACTGTTTCCAATTCTCCTTCTTTTGTATTCCTTCCTGCCTTCGAAGTATATCCCTGGGCAACTGCTGCCCTTTTGATCTCATATTGGTTGTACTAAGGAGTAGTGTTTTTGTTCACCAATTTGACAATAGCAACTGGAAAATTTTTCCTGTTTCTGTATGTACAGTTCAGTAACATTGAGTATAGTCTTTGACTTCTGCAACCAGGTCTGTCTATGGTGTGGCTGAGATTTGAGTCATGGAGATAAGTTGAGTTTCAGGCTTGAAGGGTGTCTAATGGCCATTGTCTTCAGGGGACTAATTTTTATTTTATTTATTTTGTTGTTGTTAAGAATATACACAGCATACAGGGTGGATAGGGATGGGCAACTTAGAGATTGACTACCTAAAAAGGGGGGATGGGGCACAAAGTGACTGGCTTACAAGTTTTCAAGAGGGAGTTTAGTTTCAGAGTATGTAGGGGTAGGTAGAATCCCCACTGAATAGTTCTCATCTTGTCTAGATGGTTCTGGTGAAAAGATATGGGGATAAGATTCTTATGATTCAATACTGAGTAATTGTTATCATTACTAATTGC